CTACCGCCCCTCACAACTTTTTTTTTTTTTTTTCGACCCCCATTTTTGGAGGTGCGCCGCACTGCATGCGCGCGCGTCGTGCGGGATGCGCCGTGCGGCGCACGTGCGCAGTGCAGCGCATCGCGATGCGCCGCATGTATGCCTAGGACCCTATATTTTTTAATTTTTATGTATTTTTTTTTTTGCTTATTTTTTGCACAGGGTAGATCTTGAAACGTCATTTTACTGTGGTTTCAACGGCTGTTGGAAAGATTCAACGCGGGACCCGCGTTGAAATAACTCAGGGTAGGTGTCTGACACATTTCTCCATGCAGCCTGAGCAAACCCTGTTGCATCCAGTAATGTGAACATTTGTCCGGCTCTCTCTGCACCTGCTTCCCCACTTTGCTTGCGTGCTGGCCTGCAGACCCACCCTGCTCACATGCCAAACCCCCCACCCCCACCCCTTGTGCACCTTCCTGCCTACTCATCAGCCTATCCGTCTGTCAGGCTGTCTGTCTGTCAGTCGGTCGATTGCTCGGTCAATCGGTTGGTCGATCAGTCAGTCGGTCGGCCGTTTGGTCAGTCTGGCTCTCATCACACCTCCCTGCCTACCTTACGTTCTTGCTGGCCTGCAGACCCACCCTGCACATATGCCCATCCCCCCACCCCGACCCCGATCCCCTGTACACCTTCCTGCCTATTCATCAGTCTATCCGTCCATCAGGGTGACTGTCAGTCGGTTGATCGATCAGTCGGTCGGTTGGTCGATTGGTCAGTTGAAAGCTCGGTCGGTCGGTCGGGTCGTCAGCCGGTTGGTCTGCCTCCCCGTCTTCCTGCCTGTACGCCCTCCTGCTCGACCATATGTGTACCTGTGATTTGTTCCTTTTAAAACCATCACCCCCTGAGAAGGATGCACCTTCTGGTCCACCTGTGCCCCACACCTGGTTCGGTACTAATATCAGTACCTGTGGAGGTTGACACAGGCCTCCCAGATAGTGGTGGTTGAAATGACCTATCACTTACATGCAATCTCCGTCCTTGGTTTGCCTGACGTACATGGCTGAATAATACACAGATGTAAGTGTTAGAGTGAACTGATCATGAGTTCAAATCCTGATGGCAAGAAAGGAAATACTGTGCTGGACCCAGAGAAATTGCCTCAAGTTGTTGTTGGATGTCCTGCTGGCTGTGCGCTTTGCGACATTTCTGCTGTTTGATGTGCTCCTGGGAATTGTTGCCGCGGTGCTGCAGGTGATGGAGAACATGGAAGGTCTGACGAGCTTGCAAAATCTCTGGCTTGGGAAAAACAAGATTAGGGAGGTTAACTTATGCGGGCTGAAGGGCCTGCTCCGCATCAGCATGATGAGCAATCGATTAACCCGTATGACTGGTTTTGAGGTAACAAAGGGCTCTACTCGGATGGACGACTGGTTTGGGTTGGGTTGGTTTCGTTTTGTTTCGTTTCTTTTTTTTTTTGTTCTGTCTTATTTCGTTTCGATCTGTTTTGTTTCGTGTTTCTTTTTGTTTCTGTTCATTTTCTTTCATCTCTTTTTTTTTTTTTTTTGTGTGTGTGTAAAGGGCGATGGTCTTTGAATATCATCATTGAACAGACCGGCCCCAGGTAATACAGAATGATTGTCCTGGTTATTTTCGTCGTTGCATCTGGATTCGAACTCAGGTCTGTATTTCAACAGGTCATCGGTGTTCGAACTCAGGTATGTATTTCAACAGGTCATCGGTGTACCAACTGAGCTAGGCCCGTTGGCGGCTGTTGCTTCGTCTCGTTTCGTTTCGTTTCGTATCGTTTCGTTTCGTTTTGTTTCGATATGTTTTGCTTTGTTCCGTTTTATGTTTGTTTTGTTCGCTTCGGTTTTGCCTCGTTTCCTTTTTGTTTGGCGCAGTTGTGTTGTTTTCGTTCAGTTCGGTCTGGTTTGGTCTTTTTGTTGTCATGGTTTGGTAGGGATTTGTTAGACACATCTAGAAGATCTAGAGGCTCGAGAATGCGTCCTGAATATATTTTTTGACTAGTTCGCCCTAAACCCGTTTTCGTTCCACATGGTCCTAGAAGCCTTTTTTTTTTTTTTTTTAAATTTAAAAGCGAAACTCCATTTGTAGCGAGTCAGAAGGTAGGTTGCCATTTAGGGGGACTTTTTCTTTCAATCAAATCAAATACTTTTCTTTTGTGTTCAGACTTCAAACTCCTAACTCATTCTGAGTTCTAACTCGCTGTGAGTTTTCCTGCTCTCTCTGCTTCTCTCTCTGCTGTGGTCTCTACTGCTCTCTCTCCTGCTCGCTCTGCCGATTTCGAAGGGCTGTGAGGTTTTACAGGAGCTTTACCTGAGCCATAATGGCATTTCTAGAATGGAGCATCTGTGCAACTTGAGAAGTCTGCAGATTCTTGACCTGGCTAACAACAGACTTTCAGAGATTGAGGACGTAGAGAGCCTCACAAAGTAAGTGCGCTCTCTCCTCCTCCTCCTCCTCCTCCTCCTCCTCCTCCTCCTCTCCTGTGCTGTTACGTGTAGTGCCGGGTGTACCTACTTTGGAAAACTATACGTGGGGCTCTGCATGACTGTATAAGAGAGAGGGCAAGGCCCGAACGACCCTCTATGCTCAAGGAGGTTTGTGAGGTGGATGAGGGAGTGTGGATCACCTTTTGACAAGTCGTGGAGCGCAGCCAGGTGAAATGCGTGTTGGGGAAATGTATATGTGCGTTTGTGAGCTATGTCTGTGTCCATCCAGGTGCTTTGATGAGATTGGCTGTAATCGTGGACATGTAGCGATTGTCCTCGCTATGTTATTTAATTTAATTCAATTCTTCTTCTTCCTGTTTTCTATGAATCTGGACTGCTTCTCGATCTAATTTATGTGTGTCGTCCTTCAAAGTGCGTGGAGAATGACAGAGAGGAAAATACTACCGTGACCGTGACATAGTCAAATGCATCTCCTTACAAGTCGATGACTGTGAGGACTAGGTTCACAAATTTTGAAAAGAAGCAATACAGTCTGTGTATGCCCTGTGCAGATGATTTGACGCGCATGTAAGTATATCAATTAAAAGCTGGCTACCTGGATGCCTTTGCACTGTGTAGTGAACTCATATTGGGAGGGGGGGGGAGGGAAATTTTCCACAAGTACTCCATCCCGAATGCTTCTCCTCCATTCCACAAGCCCCCCCCTCTCCCCTACCCCCTATGTGCCATGCTAATCTTCATTCTCTGTGTTGTTCGGGATAACGACCATGCAATGATGTCCCTTTGGAGTTTGAGCTGCGAAGGCTTGTATGCAGAAAGGTACAGACATGGAGTTGTTGACAAGCAACAGAAACAAAAAGAAAAGGTACACACATGTCCCGAAGCCTCGAATGAATCGATACAATCATTGTCGGGTCTAAGAAAAAAAAAGAAAAGAAACAAAAACAAACGGAGAGCTGGGCTACCACCCGGGCCGTCCGGGTCACCTTGTTTGACCGGGCGGCCCGGCCGTCCGAGGACCAGAGAAGGGCCCAGCAAAAAAAAAAAGAGAGAAAAAAAAAACATCTGAAAAAAAACTATGTGATGCACGAGAATAAACTGAACAAAATTTGCCTCAGGGTCACTTCAAAATTCTTTACCAAATCTGGAAAAAAAGTAAAATTAAAAAATAAAATAAAAAATGTATATATTATATGATACAGGGTCACCAGCCCGTATGTACGGAGGTCTCCGGGCAGACCTCCGTACGTACGGGCGTTTGGGGTCCCGTACGGGGTCCGAACCCGACGGCGTTCGGCCCCCGCCAAAAATTATTTCGGGGCCTAAAAATAATTATTTTTTCCTGAATTTTTTTCTGTGAGCTCTCTATGACGTGAGGTACATCCTTGTAAAGTTTCAAGTTATTTGGCTAAACCAAATAAGATTTAAAAATCGCCAAAGATGGCGGTGTCAAAACGTGCTCGCCCAGGTATTTTTTCACTTTTTACTTTTTGTTTTCACTTTAGTTCGGGGTGTAAACAATTTTATTATTTTTTGAAACTTTTTTAGTGGGTTTTGTATTATGTGAAGTACGCATCTGTAAATTTTCAGGGCATTTAGCTATGCCAAAAAAAAAAAGAAAAATCTCCAAAGATGGCGGTGTCGAAAACAGTGCGAAAGAAAAATGTCCAAAGATGGCGGTGTCGAAAACATGCTCGCGCACTCACTAAATTTAATTCTCTTTTTATTTTTATTATTAGTATTTGTTTTCCGTATTTTATTTTTATTTCAAATTTCGTAAGGAATTCGGATGTAATGCTCAGGCAAATCTTGTTTAATTTATTTTTCTCCATAACATATCTTTTTTTCCGATTTTTTTGATGACTTTTTTTTTTTTTTTTTTTTTTTGGGGTAGGGGGCGGTCCGCGTTCGGCCCGAACGGCCGAACGCATCCCCAAGGGGTCCCATACGTTCGGGCGTTCGGGTTCGGGCGTTCGGCCCGTCCCGAACGTCGGTTACCCTGATATAATATATATTTTATCATTTTTTCTTTTGCCGCCGGGCAACTTGCCTGGGGCCACTCTTGTAGCCTAGACGGAAAAAAAAAAATTGAAGAAAAGAAACGAAAAGAAACGAAAACTTCGAAAAGAAACGAAACGAAAAAAAGGAAAAGAAAAGAAAAGAAAAGGTATGTTAGCCGGAAGTTGTTGAATGAATTTCTGCAATTACTATTTGTCAGCCCTGCAAGGAATATGAGCGAGAGCAATAGACAGGAGCGATAGGCAGAAACTCAAGTTGCAAAATCACGAAGTAGCTCAGATAGTCATGAACCAAGCAATACCGTCCAAATAAGAGCAATGCAATGAACTTGAATTTCAATTGTCGCCACTCTCTGGTCACACCAACACTGTATCCAATGTTGCACTTACTGGCGCCCAGCACCCAGCCTATCCTACTCAGTATCTAGCCTATCTACGTTCTAGCAACTGGACCACTCTGAAGTCGAAGACCAATGTACATGACGTCAACACCAATGCCAATCACCAGCATACACCAGGTTCGTTCTCTCTCCTCTCGTCATCACCCCTTGTCTCCGCACATCATGCGCCTCCTACCCGAAGACCACCTTTGCCGTCACCTGCCTTGCGCCCCTGCAGCCCGGCTATGGCTGCTGTGCCCCCGCTGCCCTTGCAGCGCCCCTCGCCTCAGCGCCCATGCGCACGTCCGACCAGCAGCGCCGATGCAGACACTTGCGCAGCAACGCAGCAGCGTGTCCGCATTTCCTGCCTAGGCCAGAATACCTCTGCCTGGGCTGGCCTCTTTCCTTTATGGAAAGTGCATCCCCTGTGTGCGTCTGCCTGGGCCTGGCTGGGGAAGTTTCCAGTAGCTTCCAGTCGGACCCCAGTCTCTGCGCCCAGGCCCACCTCTACAGTTAATGGCCTGGGCCCTTTTCGGTTGGGCACGTATAGGTAGCCTCCCAGGCTCTAAGGGTTGGCCACATTCTCCTTGGCTCGCGGAGATTGTGTGACGACAATGCTGCTTTCTCATTCGTTCGTGGCTGCTGCGTGATGTATCGGCCTCACGCTGCTTGTGCCCACCAGTACAGCGCATTGTCATTCTGTAAATTCTTTTGTCCTTTTCTGACCAAGGGCTGTTTAAGCTTTTGAACAGGCTGGTCATTTGTTTTCTTAACTTTTCTGTTGTATGTGTGTTGTGACCAGGTTGGAGGATTTTTGGTTCAATGACAACCAGCTTCCATCCCTCGACGGCATTGGAGATAAGCTCAAGGGAGCTCGACTGACTCTTACCACAATCTACTTGGAGAGGAACCCTGTGGTACTTAACCAAATGTCAACCCCTCTTAGACCTCTTAGACCT